TTACATTGGAATATATAATGAAGTAATTATATAACTCGCCATAATGTAGAATCAGTGGGAGCCCTGAGCTTGTTTTCCTACAACTAGACAGTCCCATCTGGGGTGATGTGAGACAGTGACACCCAAAGTGTGTTGCTTACATCCAGTCTACTCTGTAATCTCATTTCAGCTGCTGTCACTACAGAAAACCCTGCTTCACAAAGATAAGATGTTGGAAACAGAAGCAGGCTTTTTGGTGCTTTTGTGGCAATCTCAGGATATTCTGCCTTGACTTTAATCCAGAATGTGTGGAGATTTGAAATTGTCTCTCAAATGTACTTTTAAAGCCACTGTCATTTGCAATCTGAAGCAGTGGATCCTCTTCAAGCACAAAGTTGATTCATCTGGCTCATTCACAAATAGGCCACAGATCCATTCCTTACTAGTTTGTGGGTCTTTTGTGGTGGGGAAGTAATGCTCAAACTCCTTTGAAAGCTGAGATAAGTGATCATGCACCAGCTGGGAGAAAGAAGGCCCTGGCTCAGTCTCTTTCAAAATCTCTGCTAATGTTTGAAACATGTCGAAAATTCCAATGTTCACTCATGGCCTCCATAATTCCAGTTTGGCTTTGCATGCAGCCACTTTATCTGCCAACTTGAACATACTTGTTGTTCTCCCCTGATGTGACAGGTTGAGTTAGTTGTGGAGGTTGAATATGCCATACAAGTAAGCAAGTTTTGCAACCCATTCTGTGTCACTGAAATGTGCTGCCAGTGGTGACTGTTTTTTTGAAAGAAATCTCTGAGTGGCTCTTGTACTCAAAGACCCTGGCCAGTGATCTTCCTTTCAAAAGCCGTCTCACTTCTGTGTATAAGAGAAGATACGTGTGCTCTGCGTCCATCTCCTCACAGAGCTGCATGAACAGACGTGAGTTAAGGGCATGTACTTTAATGGGGTTGATAACTTTAATCATATCCTACAAGATGTTGTTTAGTTCAGGTGACAGTTTTCAGCTAGCCAGCCTTTCTCTATGGATGACACAGTGTGTAGACTCACATTCAGAAAACGACCTCCTTGACCTGAGTAGTGAAACCAGAAAGCCGTCCAGTCATGGCAGCCACTCCATCCGTGCATATACCGACACAAAATGACCAATTCAGTTTTCCTGATATGTAATCATTCAAAGACTTGTATAGTTCTGCAGCTGTGGTGTTGGTTGGCAACAAAAGTGCACATAACATATCCTTATGCACATTCTCCTGAAAAACATATTGCACAATAACAAGCATTGTTGCCTTGTTGTCAACATTGGTAGACTTGTCAACCTGGATTGTGTACCACAATGACTCATTTATTCTAACAATTGTGCCTCAATATCCTCTGCTATTTCATCAGTTAGTTTAGTTACGGTGCTGGCTGAAAGAGGAACACACACCACCTTTTAAACTGCAGCCTCTACTAAAAGTTCATGGCAATGTCTTTAGCAGCAGGCAGGATCAACTCTTCACCAACAGCATAGGGCTTCTTCGCTTCAGCAGTGCGGTTAACCACTACGATGGTCAGTGCTGTCAGTGCAGACATTTGATGAAGTGGTAGCCTTCAATAATTGCTTCTGTTCTTCATGTTCACGTTTTTTTCTTTTGAAAAACTCCAAAGTCTTGTCTTTTAATGCAAGGTGCTTGGTCCCCATGTGGTAAAGCAGTTTTGAAGGTTACATGAAATCGTTGGATAGCTGGTTGCCACATATTATACAAAGCAGGTTTAGAAAATGTGAATCACCTGTTGCAATGAACCACTAATTTAAGTAGGACTCTTGGTATTTTCTTTTAAATGCAGCTTTCATTTTGTTGGCAGTCTTAGAGTCTTCTGCTGTCTCATCATTCCCCTTTTCAAAGAAGCTCTACATTGACGTTTGTTTTTTGCTCATTTTTGCTAGGGTTCGCTTGTGGGCTTACCAAAGCCGTGACTGAGACAAGTGCACAGTGCAGTAAAGAGGTGCAGACAGAAGTGGTAAATAAAATAATGGGTAGGCCACGTGCAGACTAAAATAAGTGTGAGATTCTAACTCAAAGCCTGCCATCAGATGCAGCTGTACAATTGAAGTACATCAACTCATTTGCTATTATAAAGCCTGCCACCAGATGCAGTTTAATTGTCACTTGCACTCACTGATAGAGTTCTGATTTCAGTCTGCAAGCAATTGATTTATTATGGTCTCTGTGCAGTCAAACCTCTCTGCTAATGATAATCTGTACTTGCAGCCACTCCCCAGCGCTAGCATCACCACCTCAGATCATAAGGCATTAGATTCTCACAGGGAGTGCGCAACCTAGATCCCTCACATGGGAGTTTTACAGTAGGGTTCACACTCCTATGACAATCTAATGGCACCACTGATCTGACAGGAGGCAGAGATCAAGCGGTGATGCAAGTGATGGGGAGCAAAGGCTGCAAATTCAGATGAAGCTTCACTTGCTCGCTGCTCACCTCCTACTGTGCAATCCTGTTCCTAACAGGCCATGGAATAATACCAGTCTATGGCTCAGGGGTTGGGGACCACAGGCTTATATTATGCATTACGTAATCATACATTAACATTGTTGACATAAGAGCAATTTTCACTAGTCTGGAAGTCCTGTTATTTCTGGATTATGGCAGAGTAGCAAGAAATATTTAAACCACCAGACCACAACATAGCCAGGTTCATGGTTTAGAGGAGTATGTTGCTTTCAATTTTCCTTGGGTCCAAACTTAAGATGTGGCCTTATGGGGATATAGTTTGTGTGACCAATTACTACGTTTAATATCTCACAACTCCTAATTTTAGGAGCTTCCTTCGTGGATATCATAAGATGGGTCTGGGAATGGTGAAGAAAGTTATGGGAAAGTGAAAGTACATGCTCACGGAAAAGGGAAAACATCTAGAAATCAAAAGGAACTTTTGTCTTCTAATCACTTAAAATGTGCCAGATTTTGTACCATGTATAGTATCTTACCAAATGTAACATACCTTTATGGTGGACCATTTCTGTCCTCCCCATTTTACAGATATGGAAACCAAGGCCCAGAGTTAAAGAAATACCTAAGCTCTTTCAATTAAGAAGTATAAGACACCGGATCTAATCCAGCTAGTTCATTCCATCTTCCAATCATAATCTCACACTCTCAACTTTGTAATAATACCTGGTCAACACTGTTCTGCGCTACTGAGAGAGAACTTTCCTCCTGTCCACTTTCTTCTACTTCACTTCTGGTATTGGTGCTTCAATCCTATTCAGGATTTACTGCCTTTGGTAATTATTTTCCCCCCACTCCAGCCTCCAAGGTCTGATACAGCTTCTGTATTACCATAGCAATTTCAACAAATTCCTCAGGGGTAACGTAAGGGCTCCTTCAGATGTGCACTCATGGAATTTACCCGACTTACCTTACCCAACTATCTCATGATTTCCTGACAGGTGCTTCTTTCCTATTAAACTTAGTGTATCTGGAGGACAGATATTCTGTTTGATTTATCTCTGTATTTCCAATGTCAGTCCAAGGCTTAGCTCATAATAAATATGTTTCACATGAATAAATGAATGAATGAATGATGGGTATATGCAAATCACTACCAAAAATATGTTTATAAGCATCTATTCTTAGGTCATCATGCCAGCCCTAGAAACTTAATCAGAAAGGCGTGTTCTTAGCTTGTAGGTTAGGTAGGGATTTTAACCTGAGATCTAGTATATCAAAGATACAAAGTCTCAACTATAAAATGCAATCACACAAGGTCTTTGATACACTTTGAAATGATAATTTTTTAAATTTGAAATCATAAGAAATAGAGAATGCAATTAAAATGAATATTTTCAACCTAAATGGATTCCCGATCTATGAACCTATCAAAGTTGGATAATAATCAAGGAATAAACATTGTTCGAAAACTAGAGGAAAAGCTGACTAGAATTCTGCGTGATGAAATTGAGTTTTGTGATTTTTCAACCTACAAGTTTGTGATTTATTGCCTTTGGTCACCTTTGTTGTTGCACTGACGAGATTAAACCAGTTTATCTGATTGTGCCTGTCATCTCTACTGTACGGTAAAAAAAGACACATTGTCCTGATGGAGCTTGTTCATATTTTCCAGGGACTTATTTAGTCCCTCTATTTAAAAGACTTTTAAAAGAATATTTTGCATATAATTTATTTTACACTTAAAGAAATGTATAGCTTTGTTTTATATGTGATCAGAAGAATAGCTGTAATATTTATTTGACACTCGGAGTTACTAAAAAAGCCAGGGTTAGAACAAGTTCCCCTGAATCTGAAATCTTTTTTTCCCTTTGTTAGAACTACAGAATCACTTGTGTTAAGGGCCATGTCTAAGCCCCTGTCTTGTATAGTGATGATAAATGAAACAAATGAAACCTTTGTTAGGGAAATTGCTCCTAACACACAACTGAAGGGTTCATTTCTCTGACTACTGCCTTTGCACATGACCCCTACTGTGGAAGAAGCAGGAGTAATCAGGGGACAGAGCCAAGCACAGTTAAGTGTCTGCAGTTTCCAGATTTGGTCCAGACCTCAGAGTCCCCAAACCCAGGTCAGTTAACACACTGAGTATTATTTATCCTGAATTGCTCCTGCAGTTTTAATGAGACCACCCACCAGTTATAGAATTCCACCACAACCTGTAACCCTGCAGCCATGACAGGTCCATTCATTCTCTCAAATACTCATTTCCATTTACTCTGGAGTTAACTTATCTCTTTATACAAAGATGCCCCTTTCTCTCCTCCAAGACTGAGATTGTGATGGCTCAGGTTTCACACCATCCTGGGGACTGATCTTGGCTCTCAAGATTGAGTGTGTATGCGTGTCTGTCTGTCTCTGGGTGTGATTACCACCGAAGCGAGGCTCTAAGACATCAGCCCATGTTCAGGGTCCAAGGAGTCAGCTCTCCCCACTTCCACTCCCCACCCAGAGTAGCCCCAAGACTTGCCACTCCTCTCTCCCCCATGACCAAGGAGCTTTACCTGCGCATCCAGCACCCCCAGGACTTGCTTGTAAGAGCCGCTGGCGTCCCACCTCCGCAGGCTGGAAAACATGGTCAGGGGGCGCCCTGCGACTGGTTGCAGAAAGAGGTGCTGCAGCTGTCACCTCCCTTGGCAGGCATCTGACAATCTGACAGTTCAGTGCGGGGAAGGTGGGTGGGAGGATCTGCGCTCAGGGCTGGCCCAGTCAGCTGTTACCTAGTTGGCTGCCTGCCCTTCTTGGAGGGTGCGCCTGGGTCGGGTGGGGGTAGAATGGGGTGGAGCCAGCTGGAAGGAAAATGGGGAGGGAGAGGAGGAGGGACTTTCTGCAGAGTCAGAGGATCCCTGCCTGGGGGTGGGGGCGGGGTGGGCAGTTCTCAATTGACTCGGTAGTTCTCAAACTTTCCCTTTCCCAGGGTGCTCTGTTAGAAAACCTGAGGCAGAAGCACAGAGCTCATTCCTCTCTGGGATGACATTTGCAAACACAATGTTACAGAAAGTTGTTGAGGACAACGTGCCAGTGAAATTTTGGGGAGCAAATTTATTGCAATGGCCTTAACGTTAAAAACAAATAAAATACTCCCTTTAGAAAGCCATAACAGTATATTGCATCTAAATTTTACTCTTCAAATTAATTATAAAACAAGATAATAAATGAAAAATTTCATAGTACCTAGGATCAGCGAAGAACTAATGTGACACGATGCATAAAGTGGGATATGAAAACTAAGGATGACATTTCGATTTTTACTAAATATTAAGAAACGATGAGTCTTGGATAAAGAAGTGCAGGGGTACGCAACAAATTACTTTGAGGCAGATATTTGACACATGATACATGTCATTGGTCTAATGAAGCATTTTGTTTCACTTAGAACCTGAAGCGACAGAAAAGGGAGAAATCTTAGGATTTCCTGATAGTAGGGATAAAGACAAAGCAATGTAATATTTTGCAAGGATGGGTATTATGTTTCAGGACCGAGGAACATTCTGTCTGCTTCTTGGGATTGATGTCACAGGTAGATGAGGGTTTAGAACAAGAGGAGGCCCAGAGATGATACGGGGGGAAGTTTGGATTTGGCCATAGAATGGGTCGAACTGTGAGGAGCCAGACAATTTTTACATAAGAATTTAGACCAAATGATACTTCATGGAATTGAAGTCCTGGGGAATGTTTAGAACACATCTTATTTGTCTTTGTCTCTTTAGACAGTATTTGTTGGGCCCTATGCAAGGATTAACTTGTGTCTGTGAGAAGTTAAGAGCACAGCTCAGGAGTTAGAAACAGTCTAATTTTCTTCCAAAACTTTCCACCAGTCCATGTACCAATCTGGGAACATCTCACACTCACTCAGCAGCCTCCGCCTGAGGATCCCTCTCCCTGTCTGTATTTTCGAACTGTCCATTCTATGGATCCTATGTAGAATAGAAAAGACAAGGTCTTCTTGGAGTGGTGGACCTTGCTTTTTCAGATATAGTTTCAAGGAAAGAAGAAACTTTGAACCTGTGCCTTAGAGGAGGAAGTCAGGAAGAAGAGAAAGCCTAAACTCAGGCTCTAAACTCAATATTTGTCTTCTTTCCATCTCTCAGAATCAATCCCCTCAGGAAAGCCTGGTTCTAGAATTGGCAGAAGAAATATTTCTGCAGTCACTCCTCTCTGTAGAGATACCTGGCTTCTTGATTGGTGGGAGGAGGGAGGAATGTCTAAGGTAATTGTGTAGAAGTTGGAGAGGGTGCTAAGTATGTTGGGGACCTGGAGTGATAGAGTCCCACCTAAAAGGATTGGGGAAAAATCTCTGGGAACCCCACAAAATGTAATAAAAATTACGTTTTAATGTCAAGTTTTCCATTTTGTAGCCGGTGCAAAATAAGATTGTGCAAAAGGGGGAAGGCATGAAGATTCATATAAGAAAACTTAGTTTGCAATGCTTACTTAAGGAAAACAGGGTGAAATATTCAGATTTGCCTAGGGAATAGGAAGTATAAAATGAAAGGACCCGACATCCATAAAACCTTACCTCAAAGTTAGCTCTCTGACTCACCGATTTCTCATGCAAGCTGAGCTGTGAAGTAAATACTTTCCTTTTCCAGCACAGAGAAAACCGTGGGGTATGGGAAGGGTGGAATAAAAGGGAACATAGATTAAGTAATGGGTGGGGCATATTTTATGCCTCAATAGTCAATGTTTCAACTTGTTGGAAAGATTCATGATATCCTCCAGGAGATTCTGTAATGCTTTACAAGTTCTCTAGGCACAGCGAGTCATACTTTCTTATTTAGGAGAGGCTCATGAACAGGGTCAGAATCTCTGAGAACGATTAGAAGTAAGGCTGAAAGGAAGAGCTGACTATTTTCCACAGTTAGTTGGGCATATACTTGCCACCATGGCAGAGAGAGGAGAATTCTTTTTCTCAAGATAATTGTAGGTTATATTTTTATGGGGGGGTGGGAGATTGAGTAGTTACTTTCATTGATCTTGTTTACTTTGGTGTGAAAATTTAAGTTAACGATAGCATTAAATGAATATCATATTATCATCATCATTTTTGTGTAGGGCATTTTTTCCTTTATTTTGTTTTATTTATATTTCCCCATCTACTTATTTTCCAATACATTTTTCCATACCATAAATCATTATCTGGAGCAACTAGTATCTTTCCAATTCAACTTCTACACATTTATGTAGATACTTGTTTATCCTTGAAAAATATATAGTGCTTTACGTGTTTTTAAAATTTATACAAATGACATTTTGCTATAAAGTCATTGAGATACAATTCCCCCCTGCCATGTAGCTTTGAAATTATTCCAAACACACAGTTTGCTATGTGAGTGATACATGTTTTGCTGAGATAAGAACGTGGAGTATATTTCCTCCTCCCCTTGAAAATGTGACGTTTTATCAGACCCCATATGTGAGAACGTGGAGTGAACTTCCCCTGCCCTCGGGAATGTGACATCACACCTTATCAGACGCCACCTGTGAGTTACTGATTTCAACTGCTGGACTTCAAAATACGTGTAAACTGAAGAGTCCGACAAACAATCTGAGAGCATACGCAGTGGTAGGCTGTACTTTGTGAGCCACCTCTCCTCATATGCTATGACAGAATTGCTCTGTCAGCTGCTTCGCCACAGAGTGAGGGCTCAGTCCCCTTGATGGGGACACACCCTGTTAGATTTCAAGCTAAGTTCTGAAACCCTGCCAACATCAGCACTCCACTCTAGGGACGGCACCTGTAGTCTCAGATCTCTGCTGCGCTAGTCACGACGGTCTCCTGAAAACTATTTGTAAACAAGTACACCTCACACTTTAATTAGACTTTATTTTCTACAGAGGCCTGCTTCCAACCTAATTGAGCAACTAGACTTTAATAATTTTGGAACTGATTTGTTAATATACCTCATATATCAAGTGAATTCCCTGTGAGATTTATTCTCATTCTTCTCTCCCTCTTTCTGAATTTAGGGGCAAAAAAAAAAAATTCTCCTTGTATGGTGTTGTAGTCCATTTTGTGCTGTTATAAAAGAATACCACCGACTGGGTAATTTATAAACAGAAATTTATGGGCTCATAGTTCTGGAGTCTAGGAAAACCAATATCAAGACACTAGCAGGTTTGACAATACTGATTCCAAGATGGTACTTTGAACCCTGTGTCCCCTGGAGGGGAGAAACACCACCATGTCCTCACATGGTAGAAGGTACAAGGGCAAAAAGACAAAAGCGGGCTGAACTTGCCTTTTTATAACCACATCAACACCTACCACCCATGAAGTGGAAAGCCTTCATAGCCTAATCGCCTTATAAAGATCCCACCTCTTAATACTGTCACAACGGAAATTAGGTTTCAATTTGTGGTTTGGAGAGGGCAAACATATAGCAATAAACTGCGTGATTCACGAAATCCTACTTTGATCTTCTTATTTCGACCATGCAAAACATCTCCCTTTTTTCATATTTTTTAACTCAACATTATTTGTAAGACATCTACCTGTTGCAAGGCTGTACTATACAGTATTCACCTATCGTTCCTGACTTCTGCAGGATGCTTTCCTAGCAGAATGATTAAGACTCTAAGGTAAGATAGTGGATTTAAGTTTTGAGCTTCATTATTTACCAGCAAGTCGTTAACTCAGGGCTCACTTTCTCATCTATAAAAGTAATAGTAACACTTTCCTTATAGATTTGTTGTAAGGATAGCATGACCTAATCATGCAATGAATAAAGCACTTAGAACAGCAAGGGCACATGGTAAACACTGCAAAATGAATGTGATTATTACTTATCTAGTCACCTCATGATCAACATGTAGGCTAACTTTAAAGTCAGTGCTATGAGAAACACTTCTCTCAAAGAACTGGTGTGTGTTTGTGTATTTCTTTTAAATCAAGGGTCCTCAAATGTTTTGGATGCAAGACCCCATTACATTCTTCAATATTGTTCAGGACTCGAATAACTTTAGTTAATGTGGACTATCTCTATTTATAATTACCATATTAGAAATTTAAATTTCAATTAAAAATATTTATTTGTCAATGTATTTAAACATAATGATAAACCAATTATATGTATTCATAAATGACAGATTATATATGAAAAATAGCTATATTTTCCAAAATCAAAATTGTTTTAGAAGACTAGCATTGTTTTACTTTTTAATGTATGATTTAGTAGAAGATAGCTGTATTCCCATACCTGCTTCTGTATTCAATCAGTTGAAATATTTTGTTTTGATTGAAGTAGATGAAGAAAATCTGGCTTTACATACATATGCAGTCTGAAAAGGTGAATTAATTTAATTACTTTTCAGGTAATTCTGGATACTTTCTTTGAAATAACACTTAAACTCTGGTAGTTTCTTAAAAGTTATTTGCAATGTAAAATCTGAAACCATATCAGTAAATCTTTCGTGCTCTATTATTTAAAGTCCATTCGTCTAACTTGCATTTGAATAGATCTTTTATCCTTGTATAATTTGGTAACATCATGTATTGGTTATTTGGAAAATAGTCATTTCCAGAGTTATGAATAATGTCTAAATGTTTATATCCTTATGCAATATCAAACATTAA